CTCCCTAATTAACAAGCTGCCAATGTCTGCAAGCGCTCACACTCAAAAATAGTGCAAATCCATACTCTATAGACCAAATCTTTATCACATTTATGCCCTGTGAAATGATCTACGAATTTCTTGTCCCCAATTCTGCTTTTTTCTTGTTTTCTTTCCTTTTTATAAATTACATTTTACATTATTTTTATCACTTCCTCTCTCCAACCAGCTGGCACAAAACAGTGCAGCAGTTAGTTTTAAGCAGCTTTAATCAGTAAATACAGTACTTTAAAGTAATTCTGCAAAAACCATCCAGAAATAAATAGTTTAATTAATTAAACAGAAACTCTTTTTCACATTTTGTGCTTAAAAGAACCACCATATGTAACTTGTAACATTAAGATATCATAGATATCAAATTATTTACTGTGAAAAACTGACCTGGAAACTAATATACAGTGTAGCAAAGTAGTAAGTGAAGCCATGATATGAAAATTACACAAACTGTATCGTAATCCATGCACCAACTTATTAATGCGAGTATTTTAGATAAAGTTTTTCATTTAAGAATGTGAATGTCTGCAGAATGTGTGTATGGGCACATTTTATTTGCATAGATCCAAGTGTGTAAATAAGAGAGAGATAAATACCTAAAGGTAAAGGTGTGCAAAAAACACATTATGTACTATAGCACGGCTATCGTGTAAAATGTGAATAGTTCTACCGAAAAATAACCTAAGACTGTTTAAATAGTTCACAGTGACACAATTCATCGATGACTATAACCTTGTAGATTATTGTTTATGTTCAGATGGGTGTGTGGCAGTTAACAAAATACATCATAACAGCACCACAAAATACGATTCTGCCTCTTAAATAAAAAATGTCTTTCACCTCACAGGTGAAAAAGTGCTTTGCGCCTGCTACATGCCCTTTCCTTTCTGGTTCACCTGCACATTCAATGAGCCAAAAACCCAAACAATATCCGACTGCAAGTTTTTCCTAATGGTAGCCAGGTTCACTGCCAGGGATCAATGCTGGTGGCCAAATCTGGCAGGATAGCTGCCATAACTTCACAGATGACAATGTGAGTTATAATTTCTCTAGATAGTTACACCCCCAACTTTTAAATCTACTAGCACTTTCAGGTTAGGAATTAACCTTTGCATTCAAATAGCATACTCTGCATAAGAAGGTACATTTCACTATAGAGGAATTTCCTCCAACAGTTATTTTTGATGTTTTGTTGCACAAAGTACACAAAGAAAGGCTTATGTTTTTTTCTTCCCTTTGCCCTGTTAAAATAGACTGTGGCCAAGGAAAAATCCAGCTGGCCGTTCTTAAAATCATGAGTTCAACCTAGTATTATGTTAAAAACTGATTATAATCAAACTGTTAATGTTGTTAGGGTGTGTTCATACGGACATGCTCAGGTGTGTGTACAGGAAGAAGCAGCATGTGATTAGTGAAATGGAATGTAAGAAACACTTAATACAACATGATTCAGCTGGCTTTTAAACAAAATGTGGAGCATTTACGGTATTTGGTAATCAGCCACCATAATAAAAAATAAAAAAAGAGTACTCGGTATAGCTTGTGGTGCAGTCTGACATACTGTATGAAATCTAAATTACAGCAGTCTGCAGAAAGACCTAGTGTGTAACCACTGTCATAGCAATTTGAAACTCGACTTCCCAAAACCAGCCATTAAAGTGAAGCACTTATAGTCACCTCTTTCATTGAACTGGCTATTTGGTTGAATAGATGTGAGGTTATTTGCTGTGTTGAGGATGCACAAGTAGCCCAGGGCATTTTTTTAAACTCCTGTGAGGAATTCCCAGAGACAGACCAGCAGAGACATGAGTAAAGCAAGTCCACTGAAAAGAACATTTAAATCAAGTCACATGACTTTCCTTTCATACTGTCTAATTTAAACAAATGTTTTATGCTATATCTCCTAATAAATAAATAAGGCACATGGGAAAAGTGTGAATTACATCAGCGGTTTTAAATTTCCTTTGAGGGAAATCATCATTTAATTAATCCTCATCATCATGTGTGGATTAATTAGGTATAACTGTTTGCTAGATCAATAAGACTATAGCAATAAATGGGCCTGGCCAGACCAGAATCAGCTCATTAAAGATATACTGGTATCTGTATACACAATGGCTGATATGTAACAAGAAACTGCAGTACAAAAACACTAAACTTGATTTGTGGTAATTTAAAAACAATGATAACTTGATTTTTCTGTTGTGAAATTCTTCTGCACAGTGCACATCTTGGTCATAACAAACAAAGGGATCAGCACTAAAATGGCTTGCATAGGCTGTGTTCGCTCACACACACACACACACACACACACACATATATAAAAGCCCGAAAATATAGTTCTGGTTGAACACAAGAGCACCTTCAGCACAAAGACTGACACAACCAAGGTGCACCACAAGACATACTTCCTCCCACTGGCCTTTAGTGTGTGCAATGCCTCTGTCACTGCTGGACCCTGACAGGGTATTATTATCATACACCTCAAACTCAATCCACTGTTGCTTTTCAAATTCTTGCCTTTTCATTCCACTTTCCTTCTTGCTTTCTGCACATCTCTTATAATGCATTCACTGTGTTTTTCCTTTCATTTATTTAGTGATACTGAACATTTAAACTGCATGAAAATTTTAAGATACTAACACAGATAGATAAATAAACCATTCCAACAAGCATAAACACTTTTTTTTTTTTTTACATATTCTGTAACTTAGATGTATATAAATGCATTGCACTCGTCTGTCCTTGATCACATTTATTTTGTTTTATTTATAAATACCAGGGATGTAACAATACCAGAAACTTATGGTACGATAATACCATGATAACATCCATGACACAATATTTGTCATGATAGGATGACAAAAAGACAAAAAAAAGCCTTTTACTAAATAATAATTCAGTATTTTTGTATGATTTTGCTTTTAAATTAAAGTGCTCCTGCTTTCCTTCTTAAAATTAAAGTAGCCAATCATGACCTACAGTAAGTATGTGCAAAAAACTGGCATGCATTGTTACTGGCATCGAATGGCTGAACTGTCGGCACAAACTGCAAAACAAATAATGTAGCAGTCAGTTGCATACCTTTTATGAAATAAAATATTACTGTAGCAGCTGAATGTTGTAAACAAGTCACACTCACAATGGAACATCAATGTTTTAATACCACGAGGCAGGTTTAAAGGGCCCATGGCATGTTCTTTTCCAGCCATTTAATGTTTAGTCTTGGGTACCTCTAGATTAGCTTTGCACCTTCCATAACTCCAAATACTCTATTTCAGAATGATAAAACCCAAGAGCCTCCTCATGAAAAAGAGAGGATAGTTTGTGAATGTGCACAACTCCTGTTGCCGGTCAGGAAGCTAGACAATACATAAACAAAAAAACTGTGACAAATACCTCAAATCCTATGTGACATGTTTGAACCAAAATATGAAAGTGGACAGCACGACGAACCGCAACAGCATTAATTAATTGGAATTTCTCCTCCATGGTTAGGTAAACAATGGTACATGTACAGATGAACAGAGATTTGTAACACTGTAAAGAAAACGAGTGGTTGAGAAACTGGCATAATACAGACGTAGTAACTTCTCCAGCCTTACAACAATACATTAACAGAACAGCACATAATACAGACGTACGTTTTGTTTTTGTTTTTTTGTTGTTTTGTTTTTTTTTTTTTACTTACTATTAAGTCTCACCGAGTAGTGAAAACATCACTCCCTTTCAAGTAGCACCAAGGTTGGTAAATCCAACCCATGATATGCTTTGCATTTGTACATCTTGTTTATTAACCTGCACAAAACAATGCACCTGCACAGTTTTTGTGGTCATATATTTCATCATTGAAGATTTCTTAAAGATAGTGTTAAAATATCATCTCATCATGTTCTCGTGAACCTACTATTGTGTATTGTCTTGTTTTCTGAGCTAAGTGTATCATCACACCCCTAATACAAACACATTAAAGTTCCCTCAAAATAGTGTAATATCAACTAATGAAGATCTTTAACAATGTACACTGTTAATAGGTGTGTAGTTACAAAAACATAGGAGGATTAGAGAGTCAAGTAAACTTGTATAGCCAGACATTTATGTTACGCAGTCAAGGACAGTACTGACCTCTATAAAGGAAATTCAGTCTCACTGCATCAGTGACTGTCCTACTCCCAGAAGCACAATTGCACATAAGTGATCTTTTACTTTCAGTTCATAACAGGCGGTGCTTTTGTGTACAGAAATCACGGATGAGGAAAAGATTTGATTTAGTTGATTTTGTTTGCTGCACTTTGAAATAAGTTAATTGGTAAATACAAACTATTCTTTGCATTCTTTTTGAAGACATCCTCGATTCACTTGAGCGCCTAAAACTTTTGCACAGTGCTGTAGATATATCGCTGCAACAGCTTGCGGGGAGAAAGCATATCTTTACTGGAAACCAACAACACTCTTAAAACTAAAGTCGAATGTGGCTGGACGTTAGCTAACCCCGTGGCACAAGTTAGGTTTCTCAGTTTCTGACCTGGTCCATTCACAAAAAACACCGTACTTCACGTAGCCACCATGATAAAAACCTTTCCAGGACAATAATGTAAAACTGATATTTCTAGGTTGAGTCGCGAGGCGACATAGCCATCTAGCTACTGAACCGATCAACAGCGAGTTTATACTAAGCAAATGTATCGTTAGCATACAAGCTAGCAGGGATATGCATTCCAGAGACAGTCCTCACTGAGCTTTGAAGTTCCTGCCTTCTCCCTCTGGCTCCGTTAACAAAAGTCGTCAAGCTTAAGGTTGTCTTAAAGTGTTTCACCTGAGTTAAATGTAACAAAACAGAACACGAGGTTGGTGGGATTTAAATGTTGCTTTGCTGATCTAAAACTGAACTGTGAAAATATCAGCTAGCACTGCATATGAGTGTCTGGACAGAGAGAGGCAACAAGACATAACGTTAGCAAACCTACCTGCAGGATTAAAGGTGTCCTGCAGAGCTGGAGTTTATTCAGGAACACCGCTAGTAGTTGTTTTCGGTTGGTCGATTTGTTTAAACGACTCCTACTTTACCTCAAGTTGAATCACGGATTAACCACAGACACGGGATGGCTATGCTGCTTCCCAGCCACAAGAGCGACTGAATCCAGCTCAAGATCCGCTTCTCACTGGGAAGGATATTTAGTATCGCGAGATAGGACGAGAGGGCTGAGATCTCTACGGACCAATCAAATTAGCCGGCTGGAGCCAAGCGTTTGTTTTGTTCGTGCTTGGTGGAAAAGTGGTTATTTTGCATTTCAAAATAAAATAAAATAAAATAAAAACGTTTTGTCAAAGTTTTAAATTATTTGGTCCTTTATAACATCAAATATTCCCTGTGTAAAACTTGCCAAAATGTTCTCTCAAAATCCCCAGGAGCCCAGAAGCCCAAGCAAAAATGCTGTGGAATGAACTCAGACAGCCATTCACAGATGTCATGACATTTCCTTTTCAGAATTGCTGTATTGTTACTAAAGTAGTGGCAATATATTGTAGATCGGTCCAGGCTTCCAACATTCGTTCTGTCCCCTAGATGATGTATGATTTGTGTATTTCACCCAATCTCTTTCTGCCCATACCTTTCATTCATTATCCTCTTTTTGGTGATAAGTTTCTGCATGGGGTTTCCATGTTGTCTACGTGTTTGTGAGAGGATCCTCACAGTGTTATATTTGCTTATCTTTGTTTAGCTTTTTGTTTATGTTTCATCTGTGTTTGTGTGTATCTTCCTCTGTGTGTACCTTCCTGTATTTGGCCAAGCCTATAAACAGTAGACTCAAAGATACTTGGGCAGTAAGGCTGATTCCAATTCTTATTGTGATTTCAAAGAGTACCATGTGATGTAATTGATCCTTTGTCATGATTTTAAACTTGGAATCAGCTGAGTGACAGACTGCTGAGCAGCCCAGAATATCATTTGCTTAGTATATCCCATGACTCCATTCAAGTCTAAAAAAGAAAGCAGGAAATGAGTGCACCTGCTCTGTTATTGTAAATGATTAAGACAAAGTATGCTGCAGTATTTTTGATTGTAATGGGACAACACTATTGAAATGTTCAATTGTTTTATGTAAAGTGCAATTTCAAGATTTCCTTTAAATTCTGCCTTTTGTATAATGCTGCATAAGAGTACTCTAGAAAAAAGCTAAACTCCCTTCTCTTCAGTACATGCTGTTGTCAGGTCTTGTGAAATACACCCTGAGAAAGAATAAAAGGAGATATCATCACAGGCAAACCAAACTCAGGGCAAGACACATGTATGACGCAAGACTGCAGCACCTCTCTTTTTTAAAAATTGTTTTAATATGCTCACTCTTTCTCTGTCTGATATCCCTGTAGTTGACTGGCAGTAATGCTGTCATGGAGGTTTTAGATTTCTTAGCTGTATGTTGAGATAATTTAAGATTCTTTCTATTTTTTTAATTTCGCATTACAGTGTTGTTGACATTCTTAGTAACAAGTTCTCTATGCTGATTAGTTTTTAGCTATTCTGTAGCATGACTGTTGGGATGATGATCTGTAAATTGGTCTGCCACTTTAGTCCAGATTGAGATGTCTCGGCAAACACTACATAAAATGCCATGATATTGTACAGACATTCATCTTACTAATGTTCACCAGCAGGTCACTTATTATGTGAAACATCTCACAATCTATTCAAAAGATTGGCACAAAACTGAACAGACATCCACTGTTTCCTAGTACGACCCTGAGGTTTTGTATAAAATGTCTTGACATCTACTAAGTGGATAGTCATTTAATATTTGGATGAATACCTCGTATGTATTTTATTATGTAATGCCACCATCAGTACAAAACTTATATTTGTAAAGTACTTTGGTGACCAAATCTTGTTTCCATTCTCCTCAGTGTCTAAAATGTTATAGCTGCCCATAATGTCCTATTAATAAACTTGACCCAGTTTGGCTGCTTTTTGTTTTGTCGGTTTGCTTTTTTTTTAAAGGCGGGCCTATAAATCCCTCACAAAATGACTGCAAAAGTTAATGCAATGCATGCAAATATTCGTTGAAAATGTATGTTCTACATCATTGTCCAATAAACTGACTCACTAGTTTACTAACCTGGGGTTAGTTTCACTGTGCCGTTCCTCTCTAAGTCTTCTAATGCTTGTCTATTACAAAAACAAAGAAACCCATGGTGATTAAAGCATTATGACTAAAGCTTTGTGTGAAACTGACTGTGGGAGGACATTGTTATGTAGAGCGTTGTTTTCAGTGTGATGTATTGTGCACTGATTATGTACAGCTTGCCTAGTTATTAGAGGGTTTCTTAATAGTTCTTAGGGGAATTACCTGGCATGGACAAAAGACCAAAATCACTGGATTGTTTTTTAATGAGAGATTATTTTTCCATGGAATCAATGTAGACAGCTTTCAACAGTGTATTGATTGAAACAGAACTGATTAAAATGAAATAAAAGTCATTTGATTTTGTATTATGTGCTTATGAGACTAGACACTGATGTTGATCCAAATAATAAACTTGCAGTGATAAAAAGAAACAGAACTCTATTAAGTGTGACAAAGCGAACTGTAAGGGTAATGGGACTGATAATAGATTGAAGCTCATTTCTCCACTCAGCATGTCGCATGCAAATCCAGTCCTTCCCTTTGTGCAGAGTAATATTCTGCAGTGTATCTACTGAAGATGTAGTGCTAGCAAACGCGTGGACCCAAGAATCTGAATCTGGGATTAAACAGAGGCAATTCAAAGCAGAGAATTTTTTCTTTTCATTTCTTCTACTGTACAATGTATAACAAGCAATGGAATATGTGCGTGTGAGTTGCTTTCATTGAAGATTCCATAAGGGTTCCTCAGTCAACAGAAAATATTTAAGAGCAATAGCAGCATCCTCCATCAAACCACACTCACTCGGGAAAAACTGAAATTTAATGAAATTAATAGGATTTATTTAACCATTTTAATTTTCATTCAAAGGCTGAGTAAACACATCACAGCTGAATATATTTTTGGATGTTTTTTGTGACTCAAATTCTCAAAGTCTGTACTTACCACTGAGTTCAAAATGTGGACTCACTGAAGCTGCTCAGAAAGAACTTCAAACACCACTTCCACTTTTAATACCTGTCAGAAATTATTCTAGAGCAACAGCAGCATAAAATAAGGATTAGCAGGCTTAATGCTCTGTCTCAAAACTCAAATTCCCCTCTTAAAAATGCTACACATACCGGAGTCAAGTAAAAGCACAGGCTGAACAAAATATAGCAATAAGGATAAGTAAAAAACAGAAGAATAAATCTTCAAATAGTTATCAAGACAAAATAAAATATAGAAAGCAAAATGTAACATGATATGTATGTAAGGTGTGCCTGTATTCACTGCTGCCAGAGGGATAGCTGGGAGGATCTCTGAGGTGCCAAGTCCAAACTGAAGGACTGAGTGAGATAAGGTGTTAAAATCCCCTACCATTCATTTTATCTAAGGCTATTTGTATTCTAAGCCTGTTTCTCATTTTAACTTTTGGAAAAGGAGGGTAGGCACACCACTTTAATGTGATGTGCTCTGTATCTGATATCAGCCTCAGACACAAGAAAGAGAAATGCATTGACTGACAGCACTGTGTGGACAGAGATAGGGCGAGATGGGGAGGCCTCAAGGTGGATATAGACATTAGCAATAATCTTCTGTCATACACTTATATCATTGTGACAACCAGTGGTGTCGGAAAAAAAATATTTTGTGGTGGGCCAGATAGGGACAATGAAATTTGTGGGGTGGCACACTAAAAAGGTTATACAGTGTAGAGGAATTTCAGCTTATGTTAGTTAATTAAAAAGGTAAAGGTACTATATAATAGTATAAAATATACTGCATACTGGTTAATGCCTTGAATGATCTCATGCAAACATAATCAGATTATAATATTCACATGAGATTAGCCAAGGAATTGTTAATTATCTATTCCAATTTGAATGCATCATAAACAATAAAATTGAGTGTGTGGGTTGTTTAAACATAAACATCAATTATTAGCTGATAATAAAGGTTTCATTTCTGTCCAGAACATCATATTTCATATAATTTGCAACTATCTTCCATTTTTTGAATCATAGCCATGAACTGAAATTTAATTTAAATGTCAAGACTCTAAGTGGCTAAATATTCTCCTTGGCCCCAATTTGGGGGAGCCTTTGGTGACGATGTCTAACCTTTTTCTTTCCCCAAAGCCATGCAGTGTCACTCAGTAATTTATGTCCTATTTTTATAGTTTGCCACCAGTGACGTGCGGTGAGGTTCACAGCTGGTGAGGCACTGACTCTTTTACAGTCAGATTTACAAATACAAATTGTCTGTTAACAGACAGTGCGTTATGTTTTATATCTCATATCAACATTCTTTACACAAACGTGACCCATATTTAATTTGAGGTTAAAATTTATTCCAGTTGAGCTTATTTCTAACTAGAAATAATAAAAGTTTATGGTCTTACCTTTACTTGTACACAAAATCCATTTGTCAGCTGGTATGTATTGCAAACCATTTTACCGTTCGAATCCAATATTAAAACAAATATTTTCAATAAAGAAGATCCTTCTGGACAAAAGTGTCCACACTGTCAAAAATGTTTTGATTGAAAGTC